GCTTAAAAAATATTTTTAACTTTTTAGTTCGATGTTCTTTAAAAGCGTGGGTAAATAGAGTGGTTGTATGTAGAATTTGATGGTTTATGTTCAACGAATCGAATTGATTTACTTCACCCTTTTTGAACTCGGAAAGCCGCCCTAAATGTAAGTACTCATCAACGTTATTTTCTGTGAAGTATTCGAAGCGTTCAATTATTATTTAACGATTGTTATATTATATAATTCATTTTGTTTTTAACAGAACTACATTCTAGAATCCCATTCTGATAAGTCTTGTTCTATACTTCAGATTCCTGAAGATGAACCAGAGTTTCGAAACGTCGACAATTTAGCAATTGGTTTCTTTCAACATTTCGCCCAAAATCCCGCCAACTTGACAATCAAAATCATATTCAACAGTCGCCATACTATTCAACTATTACGTTCATTCTACATTTTTTCAGGTCTTGAACTGGGATGCCACAGTTCTGCATGTTGGCCACACGTTTTCAATGCCTGCGTTGCAGTTTCCACTCTGGAGCATTCATTGTTCAGCAAAACTGGGTCTACCCAGTTGCTTATGGTCGCGCAGAATACCCAAAACAATATCGTTACATCCACCACCCGATCGGATTCTCAAGAGAGACTGCATATGAGTTTCAATATTGGCAACGACGAAGAAACTTGGTAATTTTTCTTGTCATCAGGATAATGAGTACACTTACCCGTAACTTGATGAAACACTTGATCATAATTATAGAGTTTTCACAATAAATTTCATTTGAGACTCGTTTCGCTACACGGTAATTTCATCAGTTGTACTGGTAGATTTTGCAATTGCAATACATACATGTTAGTTTTTAGACCCCTGTTTTGTTATCTTTGTCGTTTTTGACTTGTTCTCTATATGTCTAGTCACGGAGATATCAGTCTTATTATGCTAGCAGTATTTTTATTTAATCCGATGATTTTCCTGAAATGCATTCATTAGCTGATTCTACTTTCAGATGAGCATGTGGCACACCTCAAGGATCTATTCTTGGGCCAACGCCCTCCCATTCAGACAAAATCAATGTTACATTGGAATTTATATGTGGCGCACCTCAAGGATCTATTCTTGAGCCAATGCGTTCTTTCATTCAGATAAATTCGATGATACATTTGAATTTGAATGGTGAATGAAAATGTTACATATCAAAGTAATGACTCAATGCCGAACTTAATTGAAAATGTATTATTAAAACGTCAAAATGGGTATGTCTGTCAATTTTGATTGCCATGATGAGCTCAAAAGGAAATCATTGCTTTGTGGAGCATGTATTGTAATACAAAAAGTACCATTTCAGAGGAGAAACATGTAAACATAGCCACTTTCTCAAAGGTTATCGCTTTTCTTTAAAGGAAGAATGTTGGTCATAGAGTAAAGAAATCAGAAGTCTTCAACAGCGAGCAGATCAACAAACTTATTAGGAAAGCCAATAATGGAACATATTTGTGACAATACCACATTCCAAAATCCATATTGGGAGAACTTCAGATGGGCAAGAAAACCTGCTGTAGTATAGGCAATATTTATCTTTTTTTTTGAGGACAAAACACGAGCACACAGTCAAAAGTCTTAGAGATATCAAGTACAACAGCGCAACAGCTCTTAACTCTCCGTGTTACTCAATTGCGTTATTCCAAATATGGGCGACATATGATAGAAGGTCGCCTGTGGATCTTTGTTTTCAAAAGCCATCATCGCTCAAGATGTTGAAGCCTTCCAAATATTTGAGGATATGATGTTTTCGGCTTTCTCCATGATTTTTTTTATCACTGGTAGCAAAGCGACTGGTCTATAGTTATCAGATTGAAACGAAAACATGAAAATCAGTTTTCAAAACTAATACGATTAGAGGCCATCCCATACTCCACATAACACATCCTTCGTGAATTATAAAGAAGGAAAATGTTCGAGTAAGCCTGTTGGAATTCACAGTTTTGGAAATCTCGGATTTAGAATCGCAATATATTTGAATTTACCCAATACTTTAAATCACACAGGCCACAGAATTCGTCGAACTCTAGCGACATTATTTGCTGATAACAGTGGAAACATCACAAATTTGAAAAGACACGGTGGCTGGAAGTCTACACGTCAATTTTTATTTCTGAGGGGAACCCCCGCGGTTGGCAACTACCCTCCTATTTTTTCAATGGCAATGGCCTTTTATCCCTTTATTACTTCTGTGATTTTTTTCGAAATTGGTTCATTCGTTATTGAGAAATTGGATGTTGAACGTTTTATTTAAGAAAAAACAGAAAATTCGCTGTGGCTCATTTTATTGAGGAAATCAACAAAAGTGATAACAATGGCAACACAATCAACGGATAAAGTATTCAAAATTACCTCCATCTAGTTCCATACAATAATACAGTCTACTTTCAAAGCGTTCCTTACATTACTGAAGATGTCCGAAGTCAGAAATCGGTATTCCCGAACAATTCTCTGGTAGTTTCTGTTGAATCTAGTTGTCACAGAACAAAAATTAGATAGTTGGCCACTGTCACTTCTTCACGAATTATTATTTAGTAATACTTGTTCACTGTGTTTCAACATGGTTCATTCTACTGAAGAAAAAATGAAATTTTTGCAACCTATTGTCGAAATAATGAATGTGCTAAAGCTGCTGCAAGAATTTATAATACGAATCATCCAGACCACAACATGAGCCATCAATACCTTAAACAGTTAATGGATGAGTTTCGAACTTCAGGTTCTGTTCACAACAAAAAACATGAAGTATACCGTCCTGTCAGAAATGACGAAGTTGAAGTTGCAGTTTTAAGACGTGTATAAATGGATAATCGACAATCTATCAGACAAGTAGCTAGAGCGTCTGGTGTATCAGCTACTAATGTTTTTCGGATTTTGAAACCCTACAAATTTCATCCTTTCAAAGTGAGACTAGTTCAGGAATTAAACGAAGATGATCCTGATCGTCGACTTCAGTTTTGTGGGGTATTCAGCGAGAAATTGACCAATAACCAAAAACCTATTACACAATACATGTTTACCAGATGAAAGTTCTTTCATGTTGAATGGTGAAGTGAACAGACAAAATTGTCGTTACTGGAACGAGGTCAATCCTCATTTGGTAATGGAAACACATTCACAAACTCCACAAAAATTGAATGTCTGGGCCGGCATTCTTGGTAATCATATTGTTGGACCATTCTTCATTGAAGGTAATTTCAATGGAGACACATACCTTGAATCTATCACAAGGCTGTGTAGATCCTATGATTACACAAACTTTAGAAAATGATGACAATTTAGTAGAAAATGAAATAACATTCCAGCAGGATGGTACACCTCCATATTTTGAAATTCGAGTGAGATAGTATTTGGACGATGAACGTTTTCCAATGCGTTGGATCGGCAGAAGAGGTTCAGTGGAGTGGCCAGCTAGGTCACCTGATTTTACACCGATGGACTTCTATCTGTGGGGACACCCTAAAGTAGAAAGTATACTCTACTAAGCCTACAAATCTAGAAGACCTACGACAGAGAATTGTTCGAGAATGCCGATTTCTGAATCCGGACATATTCAATAATGTAAGGAGCGATTTCGAAAGTAGACAGAATTATTCCTCCTAGAAATAAAAATTACCGTATTCCTTGAAATGTTTGATTACCCGTCCGTTACTGACTGACAGGTGGGGCCAAGTTTTCGTTGGAACGCCCTGTATAAAGAACAGTGATTTGCCACCAAATTCAAGAAAACGGTTTCGAATTATTTATATTGAAGAGAATGAATACGAAGAACTTTTCATATATTTTAAAATCTCATTTATTTCCTTCTGTATGTTTCTTGGGATCATTGAAGTTATTAGTACTCTTTGAATCAACACTTCTAGTGTGGACGTCTACAGCTTTCTGCAAAGCTCTTCCCACTTTTCTGCCGATCAGTCCTCCTTCAATGACACCAGCATAGCGGATATAGTGGAGAAAAGCGGGGCAAATAACGCCCAGGGACAAGGGATCCTGAAGGGGGTGTATGCAGCAAAAGTATGCTGTGTATTATCTCAGAAATCGGACGAACTCTTTCATGGAGCTGCCTTGCGCTTATCCTTGCCAGGACTGTGTAGTTTCCTGACGGAATTGTGTAAAGCGTCACATATACAGGTAATAGTTATGTTGAATTTATGTTGATTTCAATTTTGAAAGCAGAACAAGGCATATTGAAAATGGGTTGATTGTGGTGGTTTTTCACTCCGCAAAAAGAGCATACAATAACTATTGGACAAGTCACAAATAATACATTTTAAATACAATACAAACAAGAGTGTTCATCAGAAGAATTGACGTACAAACAATTTATTTATATTTATTTGACCGGTAATTTTATTAATTTAATTATAAAACAACCACAATAAAAATTAATTAGCGCTCCGGGGCGACTTGATTGATTTCAGTGGCGCATTTGCCTATTCAACTGCAGGTAAACCCGGAATAACCTGCAGCACCACATCATTTGAAGACATTGATCTTCCAATGTCCTCTCTTCCATAGAATAAAATGTAGGATGGCTACAGAGGGTCCAATAAATTCAATACATCGCCAGAACACTTCGTGACACAATTATCGTCAAACTTAAACCAGTCCGTTTCGTCTTTGGCCAAGGCGTAATAATGACCAGATTCAACGCCAGAACCACAGTGAACAATATCTGCATGAAGATTATGATAGTGGTCTGCTAGATTGAAGTGTTCAGCTATTTCGAACCTTCGTAAGAGTTTGGTGCTTCCGTCAGAGGTTGAGTCATGTTTGAAGNAAATGGTGGAAGAGAGAACTCGAGATCCAGCAAAAGCCTCCAGCTACGCTACTCCTCCACCGAATAGGAGAAGTCACGCTGAAATGCATAAAATCTGGACGACCCCTCATACACATCATGAAATGTTGGTCGATTGTGGGGCCGCATTTCATGCAAGCGGCCTGCCACAAAGACAGAACCATCTCGAAGAAAGCCGTTACTTGTATCCACGACGCTGTGACTGCTCTGTTGAACGAACAAGCAGAACTGCCACATTTTCATTTCAATGAGGCCCTCATCAAACCCTTTGAGAATCTGCTCTGCTTGGAACTTTGTGACACAGACGTTCAGGTATGGCACTATAATTTAATGAAAAACAAAACTGGAAAAAACTTCAAAACAAGCACTTTTCTCAAACGGCAGCACTGCACCATGTTGGCGTCTTCAGGAGATGAGGAAAACTATTTCCTTGCTCTAAACTTGGCCTCTTTTTATATCTAACAGGGTACACTTTCACTTTTCCACACACATCGATGATTTCGAGTAGAAATTTGCCAGAAAGTATCAAGAGAAACTTGCCGCAACTTTTAACAAAATGATTCATAAAAAGTTAGGCTGTTTGTAATGGAACCTTTGTTCATAGTTTTGATGCCACACTTTGCTATTTAATTACTTTCAAAAGCATCCAAAAGTCTAGTGTCATGTACCTATCTCTGCAATTTCAGTCAGTTTTCATTTATTTTATGACCGTTCTCCAAAGCGCATTAAACGACGCTGGATTTTTCTGGTCTTCGAATTTGGATATGTACTATGTGTTCTTTAAAGCGAGTTTCAATGGCCTGTTTAGTCTGCCCAATATATTTTCATCACAGCCTTCACTACTTATTTCATATATTCCCGACTTTCCCTATTATTTTATGTTGCAAGGTTTTTTGTTTTACGCGTCATGAAACATCATTCGTGATTTTGGATATTTTTTTTTTTGCATTTTCAAATTAGTTGAGCTTATCGAAACTACAGTCTCGTCTACACTTCTTCACATAACAAATATGAAATAAATATTCACTTGAGATTAGAGATTTTCACTTGAAGTGGGCTTAAAGGAGTCTGAAAACTGTATCGAGGAGAAATATATACGTATAAGAAAATACAGTGCATTCCATTTAAACGAGCCACCCTGAATAACTTTTGCTGCAATGATTTTCAGGAAAAATAAAAAAGTCAACAATAGTATACCGGGTGTCCCAGAGCTTTTAGGCCAGCAGATATCTCAGTCACCTGCAGAAAAAAATTGAAAAAAAATATGTATATCATAGAAGACCACCAGCACTTTCATGTAGCAGAGCAAAATCCACCCCCTCGAATTTTTTTAAATGGATCACCCTATATTGTTTCGCATTATCAGATGTTCCATGCAATTATGAAACATATGGTCTCAAGCTTCTGGTTCGGGAGCTACAAATTATTTGAGTTGAAAACGAGCCACCATGAATAATTTTTGAAACAATCATTTGCAGGAAAAATAAAAAAACAGGTCAACAATTACAAGTGAGGCCACATTTTGAAATATTCGTTCTAGAGACAAATATGGAACCAATAATTCAGAAAAAGAGATTTTTTATTAATTTCCGAATCAAAATCTGATGACTATACAATGAGGAGAAAACATTTTTGTATAGTAAATGTTCAAAAACGTTTCCATCAGCTTCTATGGCACAAACGAGACCTCACATGGTTGAGAATCTCGAGAGTTATTTCTTTGCAATGCCTCATAATATTCTCTCTCAAATCTTCTAGTGTTGTTGATTCTATCTCATACACTTTAGATTTCAAATGACCCCATAGAAAGAAATCGACAGGAGTGAGATCCGGAGACCTTGGCGGCATTTCTGTAGGACCTCTTCTGCCAATCCAGCGACTAGGAAATTGATCATCCAAAAATTGTCGCACTGGAGCCGCATAATGAGGAGGTGCAGCATCCTGCTGAAAAACTATTTCGTTTTCAAATGAATTTATAGCCCCCTCAATTGCCCTATTGATGCACGGTATTATTCGATTCAACAACATATCCAAATATTTATAATTAGGCAAATTATCAACGATAAAAAAAGGTCCTATGATGTGGTCACCTGAGATTCCTGTCCAAACATTCAGTTCTTGAGGTCGTTGAGTATGAACTTGACGGTATAAATGAGGATTCGTATCTCCGTATCGGCAATTTTGCCGACTTACCTCTTCATTCATACTAAACATACATTCATTCGAAAAACAAATATTATACAAGAAAATGTGATGCAAGTTGATCCTGAACGGTTATGCTTTTTATTGTTAACAGATCCAGTTTCCATAAATTTGTTCAATAATTCCGAAACGTATTCCTGGATGACTATCATTGAACAGCAGCTCTAGCACTATTTCCATTCTGGTAGTACAAACTTACTATTTCAATTCGTTCTCGAAGGGTGTAAACCATTGCTTGTCAAGAATTCACAAAAACAGAAACGCCAATTGTAACTCCACCTGGTAGGTAGTCGTTATTGTGGAATGAGACAAATACAGAATGAAGAGAATATCGAATTCAACCTTAACTAGGCAAAATAATACTTTTTTGAAGTATACTTCATAAAAACACCTATGAAACTAAGGTAACAGATTGTACAGAAGTTCATTCAGGGTGGCTCGTTCTATTTAAAAAATTGGTTACATTCTCTGGGGGTGCGATAGGGGAAGTAACATCAAATGTGAATATGTCAAAATGGGCCCCCCTGTATATTATGGTTGACGTGTTCTTTATTTTTCCTGCAAATCATTGTACCAAAAGTTATTTAGGTTTTTAAAAAAATCTGTTTTTCCGTTAACCAGCTATCGCACCCCTACGAACGACAACCTTCAGAAGTCGAAACTTGTATGAGATAAGGATTAACGAGGTCTTACCTTTTAACGTGTGATTCCTAACACGGTAAAAAATGGAATGAACTGTATATATTTCGAAATGAAATGAATTACCAGAACATACACAGTATGTTCTATTAATAACCTCAAAGAGGTTAGTCTCGCAGATGTTTCTTGTCCATTCCGCAGTAGTTGTTTTCCGGCAGACATTTTCCAGAACCTACTGTGTAGGTACGTTTAGAGAGACGAATGTTTCGAAATTCCATTTCGAAATATTAATTTTTATATTTGGAGTGGACTTTTACTTTGATTTCCTCGTATCTGGTTTAAAAATTGATTTTCATGTTTTCGTTTCAATATGATAAGTATAGACCAGTCGCTTTTCTATCAGTGTTATCAAAAATCATGGAGAAAGTCGTAAACCACCATATCCTCTGATATTTGGAAGGCTTCAACATCTTGAGCGATCATCAATATGGCTTTCGGAAACAAAGATCAACAGGCGACCTGTTGGGGTGAAAGTAAACAGGTTCAATTCAGTGCCATAAAACCCAGGCATCGGTTTTCTTCAAGAAGATGAATGTCTCCAAACCGAATATAATAATGTCAGGTCAGACAATTCCGCTTTTTGCTTCGATAACTTTGTTGGGAATTAAAATGGACACTAATATGTCTTGACACAATCATTTCGCTGGAATTGCAAAGGCTGCTTCTCAAAAGCTTAAAACACTGTTCTGAACCAGAAAACTGTACACACCTCAGCAACTGTTGATGTTTTATAAAGCTCAGATTAGACCTTCTTTGGAGTATTGTTCTCATGTATGGAGATCTGCCACCAAACATATCCTGAAGTTGCTGGATTCCATCCAGAAAAGAGTCATCCACCTGATTGGAGACGCGAACATCACGTTCAATCTTGATAGCCTGGAACATCGAAGAATGATTGAAGACTTGTATCTCTTCTATAGATACTTTCACGGTAGGTGTTCAAGTGATTTGGCACATTCGATTCCACCAAGAGCGGTCCATATCAGAGGTACGCGACGAACTGTGGCTGCTTATCGGTTTGAGGTTCAACTCAATACACCTCGATCTCCAGTGTTTAAGAACTATTTCATCTGGAGAATTGTGTTCCTTCCAAATGGATTCATTTCCAGCGATTCAAATCCAATGTGAATCGCTACTTTCGCACAGACACCGCTCTAAGAGCGCCTTAAGGATGCTTGCTTTGTCCTCAAAAAAATGAAATATCACCTTGAAATATTAAGTTCAACAGCCTGTGATTTCGTGTTTAGAGCACAAATGGGTGTCATTTATTCTTCGTCGGCCGCCTCTTTTGAAGTTCTTTGTCGCAAGTCACAATTTCAGTGGCTTCTCAACGGCGTCAAGGGGCATAGCGGATAGAAATATCTCAGTGACTTTGTAGATGAATTGCAGTGCCACTTGTTTGAGACGACTAGGTTGCTTTCTTGGATGTACCGGCATGTTTCCATTCTTAAAATGTTTTCATTCTCAGACAATACCGAATGTATTATACTCTATTTTTGCAATACGTCAAGCTTCCGTCTCAATAATAAGACTTCTTTATGTTGATGTACCGTCTAACATGCCGGTACATCAAATTCTGAATAACAAAAATTAAATATCGAAAACTCAACTTCAGTTGCTAAATATATGAATCCAAAAATAATATCGCGCAAATAAAGCCTATGAAATAAGGTTAAGGCATTACAGGATATTTTTCGACCCTGTTAAGCTAGTAGAACCACTTTGAATTTTTATATTTATTTCTGGGCCTTAATTTTAAGCTATTCCAGAATTTTTTGCTTCTCACTTAACGGAGATTCGCGAGCTCAACGTCAAGCTAGCAGAACTCAACCACAGAAAAAAACATTTTCTTGAATCTCACTTCGTGGTATGGTATTCAGAAACATATGCATTTTCAGGATCAAATCGTAGCATGCCTATGCGAGTTCGTGGAAGCAAACAGAACCGAGATCTGCTCTGGTTGGCGACCTCTCTTTGGCACTCTCCGAGTAGCTAATGCCAGAAACAACGCTGCTGCTATCCTGGACGTGTTCAAGATCTTCCTTTCAACCGACAACACTCTGGTCTTCGCAAACGCCGCGCTGGACTACATTTTATGTCTACTGTCCCACATCAAAAATGCTAATACGGACGACTCTTTGATCGATACCATTCAATCTGCGAGTTCCACCAGCGAGAAGAAGTCCCACATTTTCCTGGAGAAAGACTCCGAGTTCCCCTCAAAGTTAGCTCTGGGCCCTGTGGACGTATGCATTGTGTCCCTGAAGCTGCTTCAAAACTGCGCAGCAATTCTAGCAATGATATATAACATGCCGAAGTGTCCAACTTTCAATCTAACTCACAGGATGAACATCGACACCAATCCACAACTTGTGGATACAGTTCTCCAGAACTCTGAGATAAACAACTTCAGTCAAACGAACCTGAACCAGATCAGTTACGACATCCTGTCTACCCAAAACGACTTTGAGTATTGTGAGAAGGAGAAAAAAACTCTCAGTCACATGGACAAGCAATGCAACGTTTTGAAAATCTACTACATTCTCTTGGAAGGTCTAGCTTCTGCTTCGATATTGTCGGCCCCGAAAAACCAGCCTTTCATAGTCGATACCTTATTCAAGCTGTTGAGAGATTTGATATCGAACCCTGGTATCGATTTCGGATTCTACTGCATCAATCATATACTGCTGCCAATGGTTCAGAACTGGTTGCGGCAGAACGTGAAAGTCCAGAAGCCTGGAGAGGTGTGGCAGAACTTCAAGCACTGCTGCGGACTGGCCAGCGAGCTTGTTGTTGATTTTTTGTACTATTTACAAGAAACAGCATCAAGCTCGGATCGTGATCACCCTGGAGCAACTCTTGCCTTGAAGCAGATTCTCCTGATTCTGATAGAGTGCACAGCTCAGCCATTTGAGAACATTGCGAGGCTTGGCACCTCATGCATACGTCACCTTATACTCACTGCTGGAAAAGTTCTGACTGTGTACCAATGGGAAATTTTAGTAGTGGGAATTCACAGAGCATCGACGATAAGCCTCAATCCACTGTATCAGCTCTCATTGGCGTTCAAAGAGAACTCTGATAGCTTCTATGGGGATATGGCAACGGTGAAGGTAGCCGCCAGAAAAGACACCACGGTTGCTGAAAACGAGAGATTGTACGACTTGGCACAGCAGGTGTTTCTGATGCAGACCCAACGACACTGCAGCAAGTGTCAGGGTAAAACATGCGAGTGCGAGGTTAGCAAAACAATCACTATTGACGACAGAAGCTACGTTTTCCTGCTGTACCCCTACAACTCTGGCACAATACTGAATCCAGACCTGTACACTATCAGAGTTCCCTTCAAAAGCCTCATAGTGGGCATCTTGGCGCACCAGATGTTGATCCAAACGATTTCCAGTGCGCTGCTTCAAAATCTGAACCACATAACCCCAATTCTGAACATCCTCCAAATAAGTTCTTGCAGCTTGCGTGGAATTCTAACCAAAGTCAACGCGAAACACGTCGATATTCTGCTGAAATGTCTAGAAATATCAAACATCAGATCCAGAGAGTTTGATGTCAGACCTGGCTTGAAATTCCTGACACAAAAAGTGGGAAACTTGAAGAAGGCTGCCAATCTTTACACTCAAGCCAATACCTCAGAAGTTGTGCAAATAATAGTGCTGATAGAGCTCTGCTTAGACGGGATTGAGAAGTACTCTATCGATCCAAGGAACCTCAAAGAAATCTTGGCGAGAGAGGAAAAGAGCAAGTGCTCCACTGATTTGGATTATATCGAGAACTTTCTGAAGAAGCTGCACAATAAGTGGAATAGACTCTGCGAGTCTTACATGAATTTAACTCTGGTTATTCCAGAAACCAGCGATGAAAGTGACGACGAGGCAGTTTCTGAACCGTACCAGAAGCCTTTCAAACTGGCAGACTTCAAACAAGAAGAAGACAACGATAATCTGAGCATCAGTACCGACACTGATAGTTATTTGGAGAAAGACGTCCTGCCCAATCTGAAGAACGACAACAATTTGGTAGAAATTGAGTCTCGGCAGTCGAGCAAGCTTCAACAGAGCTACAGTTTGGATGAAAGCCTTTTGAACAAGCAGATGAAACCTAACGATAATAACTCTACTGACGATGAAACTAACGAGCTGGCAGGGAAGTATAACGGCAAGTTGGTCCACGAGAAATACAAATGCGAACTTGGTGCAATTAAATACGATCAGAATACTCTGCTGCAGATGAGGAAGTCTACGATTTCCAGTGACAACATTCACACTTGTGACAAGAAGAGTGAGTTTTCCAAGCCGAGGAATCCCACAGATGATAGTGTGACGAAGAAGGTGACAACGAATACGAGAAGTAACCCTTTCATGGTTCATAATATCCCTCCCCCTCAACCCGTGCCGACTGAAATTCAACAACAGAGGGCCATGAGTATATTCAAGGTGAGTTATCATATTTAGAACAAAAAAAAGCGGTTCTCTCATTTATTTTCAGATCTAAAGCCACCCAAAGTTCTGATCAAAGCAATTTTTCAGTCTTTTTTGCACAATATATACTATACAAAATACAAATGCAAATATTCATTCACCTTTACATTTCATTTCACATTCTTCGATACTTCTCAGTTTATTATTTAACATTTTTCTTTTATTAACTTTATTAATATGCAGAGCGGCTTTTTGGTGGTATATTTCTCCATTTTACGTTTTTGAGGTTGACGTTATAGTTGGCATCACTTTGGAGATTGCCTAGTTTGGGTCCCAGCGCATATAAATAAGAATAATAGGGGAGAGTCCAAGCAGGGATTTCGGGATTCACTAAAGCGCGGCACCAAATATGAGCCCCATATATAAGGCCGCCTGTGAGGAATAAAGAATCAGATTAGTAAAAAAAATTGATCATCAGAAATTCTCGAGCGCGTTAGATTAGGGTAGGATGAGTTAATTAAATGCTAAAAAGTGTATATTCCAGTAATCTGACAATTTGAGAGTGACGTAAAGAAAGGGGAGGGCAGCAAAGTTGTACAAAAAATAACGTCAATTCGACATTCTTGAGCGTAGCCAGTTTTGTTTTATTTTGAAAGAAATAATTCAAGGATAACGAAAAATATATAATCTGACTATTTCCTCAAGCCGAAATAACAAAAATTCGTCGATAAAGTTTAATGCGTGCAGCTGTGTGATACCTATATTTCCCTCTCCGAGTTTCTATTCCTCTATTCTTCATTCACTTTTTCTCTATCTATTACTTTCTCACTCCGTCCCCACTCTGAATTCTGTTGCCATGACGCCATCACAGCTGATCACAGAGACTCGTTCATGATGAAGATGAAGATGATGATTAATCAATCATTACTACGTGATAGGAAATCATAATGAAAAAAAGAGAAATTAAAATTTCTATGTTTTTCACATTTTTTTTTGTAACTAACGTTACTGAAGTTTCGTCCTTTAAGGACAATTTCAAACGTTTTCAATATATAAGGACATTTTCAAACTTATACAATATACAAGTTATACAATGTCCTTATAGGACGAAACTGCAGTAACGTTAGTTACAAATGAAAGTGGTAAAAAACATAGAAAGTTTCATTTTCTTTTCTTCAATAATTAATCAATTGATTATAAAAAATTTAATTTTCTTGAGCATTTTAAAACATTATTTTCGTATAAGTACAAGTATTCTACTTAAAAAACAAACACTTATTTATTTGCATGCTATTTCCTGAGCTTTTCAATTAAGTTCAATGAATTTTTGAAAAATTAAAAAAATATTGTTTTTGTCAGATTAAGGGAATTCCTCTAGATAATCGTCAGATTATGAGACAGCACGTCTAAAACATAAAGATGAACCATATATATTTCAATCTGACGCGCTTGAGTATTTCAAAATGGCGAATTTTTTTCGCGCATTATAATAATGGCCGCGAGTTTGCGTCAGATCGAAATCGTCAGATTATTGAATGAGAGCTTTTTTTTGTTGCACACAACATCCCCTTAGAAAATCTGACGCGCTCGATTAATATTTTTTTTTTCACTTTTAACCCTTACGTACAACCACCTGCATCATGCAAACGATCAGATTAACATACCAACATTATTAAAAATACGTAGGACATTGATGCTATCAATATCTGACGCGCTCGAGTATGTCCATGCAACAGTATTTTTTACTATAGTCGCTTCCCCCACCGATGAAAAGGTATATACTATATAATATTTTTTCTTCTTATCATCTAAGCTTTGCAACCTAATATGTTTCGATGACGCTCGAGTAAATCTCATTTTGCATCGTGGGCTGCTAGAATGTTTAATAGCGCAATTAAAATATAACCCAACCCCACTTAACCTTCAATTACTAGTAGGTAGGTCCTAATATTGAATTAATATAATATTGAAAATATTCAAAAGTCAAATTAAAACAGTTGCTGAACCTAAACTAACCTATAGAAGTGCGCCAGGACCTAAACTAGGTACTTGCCAAGTTTTGTGCTTCCATATTTTGAGACCCCCAATTGTTTATTGAAAATAAAATCCAAAATCAGCATTTGCAATTTCACACAAATTTGCACAACTAACCAGTACAGAGTAACCTCTGTACACAATTGATTGTAGACCTTTCAATAATCGGATATTATATTTTCCTAGACCTGTCAGGAACTGGAACCATGAGAACTATTTTGGTATCTCGCTCTATACCACCCAAAAGCAATCGTCCCTCTACCACTCGTCCTATATTATATTTTCTTTCTCAAAATTTAGCTTCGTCAATTGGAATTAGCTTGCCTATTACCCAATTCGAAAGAAAACTTCTTCTTATGCCATTTCAAACAAACCTAAAATTATATTGAATGTAATACTCAATTCAACAAAAACAGATATTTCACTCCTCTGCAATTTGATCCAATCAACCTTAGATTCTGCCAACTTGAATTAAATTCTATCTTGCTTTGACTGATTTTGAAATTCATGATTAAGATTTCCACAATTTGCTCACGTCAAAATAGAACATTCAAATCATTCGAATTTCGAACAGTAATCGGTGAGAGTTACCAAGCTACCAACCGCTTTTTTCCGAAATGTCACCAATATAATCTCATAATGTAGATATATCACCAAATTCCATTGTTGAATCAAGTTTTTTCTACATGAAAAATGTTAATTATTAAACTGAAAATTGTCAAAGGAAGTTAAATAACATTTGAAGATGCGAAAGGAAGGCTAAGAAGATGCAATTTTCGTAACTTTGGAGGTCTTTTATCCTGGAAATAAAAGCACCAATTTTTCTTTCGGATTCATAATCTACACGTGAAAATATCTAAAATTTCACCATATTATTTACATTCGCTATTAATGAATCGGAGATTATGGAAATTTTAAAATGTTTAATGATCACAATACAATTTCATTTGTATCAAGTTTCTTCAATTTTGACAATTCTTATAACTATTTTATTTTTGATGATTGATATTCCACAGCTTGGACTGAATTTCAAAAAAGGGTGATAAGACCAACGGCAGTCAATATAGGAATTGGAAAAGCAATGTTCATGTTTATTTTTATTTTGTGGATTGATTTGATTTTACTAAAATCTAGATTTTCCTTTATGAATATACTAATGCAAATCAATCAAATCAAAATATACTTTATTGTCCAAGAATAACAATTCTCATGACGAAGCATACAGTCACCATGATAACATCACAAATATACAGTTAGCAAGGAGATCATAAATACACATAAATTCATACTTACAATAAGCGGACATGATTACATATACAAAAGCAACAAGATTTACACCACTAAACCAAATAACATTGAACAACAAAACTACTATGTGCCAATTAAATGAATAAAGTAACATGCCGAAAAAACAAAAAGAAATAATGTTTACATTTTGTACATGAAATTACAAGGACTACCTCTAAATATACGAAGAATTAGGCATACGTTATATGACCGCCGCCAAAGATAGAGATCTCAGCAAAAAGAATCCTGAAAGTATTCTTCCAGGGTATAGTACGCCCAACTATGAGCGTTTCTACAGATTTTCTGAACTTGACTTCGCTTTTGATGACACGCAAGGTCAGAGGAAGGTGATTGAAAATGTTCTTGCCCTCAAAAATTGAAGAGTTGCGAGTTAAGGGTGAGCAAGAAATTGAAAGCGAGATCAAGTGAGAGGAGCGAGTGTTATAGGTTGACTCAGAAGTAATTATAGCTTGGTATCTCTTGTGCATGAGGCAAGTTATTTCCAAAATGTAGATACAAACCAATGTCAGAACTCCATGTTGCATAAACAAAGGACGACAGACGACAGGATTCAAGGTAATCAGAACTACATAGGTATCTAATTGCCCTTTTTTGGAGAGAGAATACTCTTTGAAATAGATACTGAGCACAAGCGCCACAGAAGCAGATTCCATAACGAAGATGAGATTCTATTAGTGCGTAGTATACGTTCTTCGCTATACCCAAATTCAACTCATTAGCAACGACACAAACCGCAAAGCAACCTGAAGATAATCGATTGCATAGTTTTGTAATATGGTTACCAAACTTCAATTTATTATTAATCAGAAGTCCCCGAAATTTATTATCCGTAGTAATGGAGATTTGTTCCTTGTCCAAATAAACATCATCTAAGTCGCCCTTGAATGTTATGATATTTGTTTTGCATATATTGAAAGTTAGAAGATTGGAATCACACCAATGCTTAACTTTTTCTATATCTATGCTTATGTGGTAGTTAAGCTCTGAAGAGCTTTTGTTGTGCCATAGAATCGATGTATCATCTGCAAAAATAGTAATTTCACCATTGATATCTAAGTTGGCGAGGTCGTTAATATAAATGAGAAATAGAGTCGGGCCCAAAACTGATCCTTGAGCAATTACTTGCTTTCCAGACTTAATACCATTGAATGATACAATTTGGCCACGCTTCGATAAGTACGACCTGAGCCAGGACAGTACCGTGCCTCGAAACCCACAAACTCTTGATTTCATATTTGTTGTAAAGATAAAAACATTTTATTTCCACCTCTCTTTGAGGTAATCCACTTCTTTTAGGAGTGGAAATTCTGTTTCTTAATAATCAACTAGTTCTAATGTTAATTTTGAGAAAAATCGTTATTTATAACTACTCATTTTGATTCACAGGATTCTGAGGCGTATAAAACTACCAGAATTGAAACAATGGAAGCTTGTTTGGAACTTTTGAGCAGTTTGTCTTCAGAGAAACTGTCTCCCTTAGCAGCTATATTGAAGCAAGGAGCTGTTTTGTTGATAGGGGCGCAAGACGACAAAATTAAAAAATCGGCAGAAGGTCTTCTTCAGAGAATGAATATATCTTTCATCGACCCAGACAACTTCTAAGCTTTCATTCAAGAAGAAATAAATTCTTTGAAATATATTTTTTTTACTTTAGACCACATCTAGTTTATGACGTTTAAAGGAAAATAACCTATGCTTAATTTCTTTGGTTCGGACTTCCATTATCTAGCGTGATATAAAATGATTTGAAATCCCTGAAAAAATCGGGTGAAGACGATTGTTGATACTAATAATCAAAATGTCATGAAGTAACTTGGTTTGAAATTTTTTAATTTTTATATCTTTTTAATTGTTAACTTTTCAACTGTTGCTTGTGTTTTATTTCATTGTAATTTCATTTCAGGGTTTTTGTTCAATATAATTGTTATTTTCAAATATTCATTTCAATTTTAATGATTTTATCAGCACTTTCGAATCATTTTACATCACAATGGAAATCCTAACTAACGAAATTTACCAAGAAACATTTTTAACCGCCTTCAAATAATCTATGCTTGGTTATAATTTTTACGCTTTACTTAGTTCAAGTACCTAACTGACCAAAAACTGTCTCAAATAGTCAAAACCCATTCGCTCAATAATTTTTTAGGCACTGTCACTGGTCTAGATGTATATTCATCTCAAAGACAAGAAATACTTTTACTTGTCTAAAAAAAATAATGAAATGGAGAATTTTTGTTTATTCTGCATTATGTTTCTGTTGGTTTGACTCCAACTTCAAGAAATACCATATGAAATGAATGAAATATATCTGATAACTAATGAAAAGGGTATGATAAACATTTCTAGTAATTTCATCATTATCCCCATGATAGTTTAAGTTGTTAAAAACTCCAAGTTTTATCCAAATTGCTATGGGTCATCCTTGATTGGAATTACAATACACTCAAAACTCAAACAAAAAATATTTTGTGAAAGCTATTTCCCGTGTTTTTTGGCCGTGGTCTGCAGGTTTTTATGCCTGCTGTTTCATCTAATACTGCGGTAGACGTTATCAAAGGAGGTGTCGTAATGGTCGCAGTGCCCAAGTTGGTGTTCGAGTTGTTGTTCCCGTTGTTCCGATTGCTGTAACTACGTGCTCTGAGATAGAATCTTCCAGACATAGTTACTGTGTGCAGAAGCTAGAACCTCGTCTATCCACCTCTAGTCATTTCTGAGTTGACCTCAATTCGCTGCTGTGCACTTCAGCAAGATTGGCGTCTGACTTCCTGCGGTAATCTTTCACACACGGTTACTGTGTGCAGAAGCTTGAACCTCGTCCATCCACCTCCAGTCATTTCTGAGTTGACCTCAACTTGCTGCTGTGCACTTTAGCAAGATTGACATCTGACCTTCTGCGCTAATATTCCACACACGGTTACTGTGTGCAGAAGCTTGAAACTCGTGTGCAGAAGCTTGAACATCTTCCATCCACCTCCAGTCATTTCTGAGTTGACCTCAACTTGCTGCTGAACACTTCAGCAAGATTGCCATCTGACCTCCTGCGGTAAACTCTCACACACGATAACTGTGTGCAGAAGCTTGAACCTCGTCCATCCACCTCCAGTCATTTCTGATTTGACCTCAACTTGCTGCTGGGCATTTCAGCAAGATTGACATCTGACCTTCTGCGCTAATATTCCACACACGGTTACTGTGTGCAGAAGCTTGAACCTCGTCCATCCACCTCCAGTCATTTCTGAGTGGACCTCAACTTGCTGCTGAGCACTTCAGCAAGATTGACATCTGACCTCCTGCGGTAAACTCTCACACACGGTTACTGTGTGCAGAAGCNATGATTGAAGAATTCAACCGGAGACAAAGCGTCTATTGATCGCGAATTAGGTGTGCGTGTATGTGTATGTGAAAAAGTGTGTGCATATGATCTGTTCATACTGTTTTTATACTTACTGGAGTCGCCTGACAGCGACTCTCGGTGGTGATCGTTGATTCTTCTTCGTGGGTCTCATGTGTTTATCCCTATCGCGAAATCTGGTGTTGTCCCTGTTGAGCGCTTCATGTAGGTCAGGCAGTCTTGGACTGGAGTGTGTTCGTATCTTTCAAATAAGTTTTCTGTGTGTTCTCTCATGTATGCGTCTACATACTGGATGTTGAGGCCCGAATAGAGAGAGAGGACTGGACCTTCCGGGAGAAGAAAATATTAAGAGCAGATAGTTGTTGGTTCACAGATGGATCAAAAACACCTTTCGGTTCTGGTGCAGGTGTTTTCAGTCGCAGACTGACCATACAAACTTAAGGCTTCGTTAAAAAGCTGGGTTTATTTGATCGAGTGTGGTGCGGTGGAGGGTCGAATAGACCCAGTCACTTTGAACCTGACCCTAACCTAACCCGGAAGATGTATATGTTAGGCATATATCTTGTAGTGTTTACGGCAGCTCGTGAGCAACTGTTCACCAATGTCTGGATACTGCGTCTGTATGTCGCTGCACATTGGCCCCAGGAAGCGGAAGCATACAGAATAATTAGAAGTAGCACGGTCTTGATTAGAAGCAGGTTCACATGGACCACACTGCTCCTACGGTCTATGATTGGATATAGGTTTCGACGAGCGGCTCTTGCCGGACCTAGTCTCTGCTATATGTGGGAACTTAGTCTCCTCTGTCGAGGGTGACTTGTAGGTATCTTGTTTTGTTGGTCTACGGAATCTTTTGTCCGTTGAAGAACTACGATGCTGAAACGATGCTTGTGTTTTTATATTGCCTCTCTATATACTCTTGGATAGTAATTTCGAGTTTCATCGAGTAATACTGTATATTCGAAAAAGATAATGTGAATGCCTAGTTTTTTGAGAGCATATTCGACTACAGCTGATTTGTTGCAGGCGACAATTTCTCATGTGTTCAGAGGGATTAGTACCCATACTTCTTTTCGTGGTTCCAATGTAGATCGACCTGCAGCTAGAAGGAACTCGGTATACCCCGGTTGTTGCTAAAGGTTTTCTGGGGTCTTGAGCTGACTTTAGACTTTCTCTGATACTTTTCGTTGGTCTAAATATTGGTTTCACATCGTGTTTCTCTAAAATTCTCCCAATCCGGTCTGTGACATTTTTTAACATAGGGAAGGAAAGCATTTCCCTTGACCAGCCTAGCTGGGATTATTTTTGTGTTGTCTTCTCGCTGCCTCCCGCTCAAACTCCCCTTTCCCCATTCCCTTTAAAGGCAAATTTTATGTGAAAGAGTTCCTCAGGAAGACTATCACATTCACAGATACGTCGTGCACTGTCAACCAACGTTTTATTCACTTCTCTCTTTTTTTGTAGTTGGTAGTTAGAGTTTTTGTTCAGGTACGTGTCTCTGTGTGGTTCCTGTACACTCTGTGGTTCAATGTACCATCTTCACATAAAAAAAAACGAGAACATCCAAGAGGGCTAGAGTAATCCAATTGAGAGAAACCAAGCCAAGAACCGCCACCAAAATGTTTCACGTGTGGAAGTGCTTGTGACTATTAAGCATGTTCTGGTAGAGTGCCCGCTCTTCATAGTTGAGAGACTGAACAATAAAATTCTCTCCGACCTAAGTGAAATTTTCAAAAATACCGATACGAACAATATTATTGAATTTCTTAAAGAATGTAACACTTTATTTAAACTGTAATGTAAACAACCGCTTATTTTAGATGTATTCTACATGTTTGCCGCTAATAGCTACGGATGATGCGGTTTTTTCTATATAAAAAAAGCCACCCACTCCAATAATAATATGAAACCAGAGTCAAATACCAGAGTCGTAGTTCCAGCGTTTGGAACAAAGAGAACATCAACTCTAGCACCAATTCGGGTACTGCGACCGTCACCACATCGCCTTTGATAATGTCTACCGCAATAGCGGGCGAAACGTCAGGCAAAAACCTGGAAAATAGCTTCCACACGGCCGTGAAAGTTCACGTTCTTTGAATTATTTTAGATGTATTCTACATGTTTGCCGCTAATAGCTACGGATGATGCGGTTTTTTCTATATAAAAAAAGCCACCCACTCCAATAATAATATGCAAGCAGAGTCAAATACCAGAGTCGTAGTTCCAGCGTTTGGAACAAAGAGAACATCAACTCTAGCACCAATTCGGGCACTGCGACCGTCACCACATCGCCTTTGATAATGTCTACCGCAATAGCGGGCGAAACATCAGGCAAAAACCTGGAAAATAGCTTCCACATGGCCGTGAAAGTTCACGTTCTTTGAGAAAATAGTTTACTAATATTTTTCAGCAGTCAGCAGTTGAACACCAGTTGATCTCTTACCATGTTCTTCATGAAACCAGCATATTTCGTTCCAATTTTTATTGTGCTTGGGTGTCATGATGTTCATCTTGTACCTAATAGTATTTTTAGAAAATTTTCCATCCAATATTAGTTCATTTATTGTAATATAAATTATATGATAGGCATAATATGCAAAAGTATCTCTTTATTTATGTATAAAAGAGGCATTGAAGTGAATAAATTGGAAAATTAATAGAAATTTGGTTCATGTCACCTTCCAAAAATATCCCAAATCAACTATAGGTACTATACATCAGAGAATTGAAGATAAATACAGATAATTAGTTGCCTAACCAAGTATATATCGGATTTTTTTAAAGCCGTACTAGGAATCAGGTGTAGGGATTTCCTGTACTATTCAATTGACGATGGATAATATATCATGATAATACAGCCCTGTATAGAAAATTCACCAGAGATGTTCAGGATGATTCATATATACGAGATCTGTTTATAATTGTTTTCTTATTTCAAAATCATTTGAATAATCAGTTAAGGAACTATTATTTCTTTAAAAATCTCAGAGATCAACTACCTGAAAACGTCCTTGCTGAAAGAATTTAAAATCAGCCACCGGCGACGTTTCGGTCATATATTTTTTACCGCATCCAGAATACCAATGGATGAACAACCAGTTTTTTAAAATTCTTGTATTTAGGGCTAATTTAACCGGACTAAAGGAACTGCCATTAGCCCATAACATAGTGTGGCTTCTACACAATACTGTGTAGTTGGTTGCTGGACTAAAAGTTGGTTCGACGGACTCCTTAACGTATTCAGTGTCGATGACGTTTACACAGCGTTGTCATATACTCGTG